AGTTGAAATCGCCCATCCCCAGTGCTAACCAAGGGCTCTGGAGCCTCTCTGCAGAGATAATTGGTAGCCCCAGGCTCCAATAGGATGTAGGAACTGCTTTCCACTGCTTCATCTGAGGAGAGAGTAATCTGTTGGAAACATGGCTACTTCTTCTGGCCTCTTTCCAGACCTCCAGTCATGTTAGAGTTGAGCTACAGCAAATGAAAATACATTAGAATTTTAAAATGGTACATAAGTGATTCCTGCTCATTGGGAAACTTGAGGCTAATGTCGCCTGCAGCAATTACTACTGTTTTCAGAAATAATTCATTAGCTGCAAAAATCTTCTCTTATTTCTTGGGAAATGAAACAAAAAAATAGCTGTTTTACTTTCCTTGTTGATTCCTTCCCTTCCATCTCCTTCAGTGCTCTCCAGGCTGCAAAGTTGATACAGGAGGTCTTAGAGACCATGGTGACACAGGTGAACTCTCAGCCAGATACCATAAGATGGTCCCTTTCACCAGTTCTCACACTTTATTCATGGCTTTCTGGGCAGGGTTTCTTGGCCTGCCTGACCCCACGTGGCAGAGGAACAGCAGGACATGTCAGAGGTGGCCTCTGGCTGCCAGAGCCTGATCACCAGAGCCCCAGGTGAGGTACAAAAGCACTGGTTGGATCAGCCAGCCTCTCCCAGCAGAGACACACGGCCAGCACTAAGCCTGGGGTGGCCCAGGGAGAGGGACTGCTTTCACCCCATAACTCTAACAGCTCCATTGGTCATGGGGTAAGGAAGACACAGGAAGATTTCCTTTTTTTTCCTCTGCACTTCAGTGCTTTTCATTTTGGTCCCACATGGACCCCACGTACAACTGAATGAGAGAGCAAGAGAGGAGAGTTTTGTAGATTTTCTCTCAAAGAAAATACACCAGGGGTCAAAGTCAAGCTTCATGTGCCAAATATTTTGGTCAACCTCATAAAGTCAGAGAAATACAAAACTAAATTTCTTGTAGTTTCTGTAAGGTTCTGAAGAATTGAAGGCCTTTCTGAAAGTCTTGAAGAGCACCAAAAGCTCTGGACTAATTGCACCTGCCCTGGCTGCTCACTGCAGCCCTGGAGGAATGTCCCTTGTTCTGCACAGAAGGGGCCCCGCTGTCCAAGCCACCTCTGGCCTGGAGAGAGGGAAGAGTCACACTGACGGTGTGAGAGTGGGAACTTCTGTCCAGCTGTCTCACTTGTACACATCTCAACTGTGCTGACAAATTTAAGGAATGCTCTTTTTGAATGGATGAGGAATTAAAACTTCAACATCTAAGCAAAACATGAAAAATGTGTGAGTGATTTGCTTGTTGTGCGGGAGATCACTCGGCCGGGCTGCTCGTGCGCTCTCGATGCCGTTCGCAGACAGCCCCGCCGGCTGCTGCTCCAGGGGCTCTGCAGCCCCCCAGCCCCAGGGCAGCCCCCTGGCAGAGGCAGAGCCCTCTGCCCTTCCCTGGGGTGCCATCCTCAGGGGCTCCCACCTGGGCTGCCTGTGCCCCCACCCCACGCTCCCATTCCCTCCACACGCAGCAGATGTGTCTGCTGACATCTGGAAGGGAACTCACTTCTTCTCCTCAGTGGTTTGACACAGCAATTAGATTTGGTTCAATTTCTGGGACTTTACCACCTGTGCTAATAGCCAAAATTGCTTTCAAAGATAGACTACAATGTTTTGAATTTGGAGAGAGATTGCTATCCCTTTTAATCACATTTTCTGTCTCTAATGAGACAATTACAAGCATTTCAATAGCTCCCAGTCACCAGCTTTCCACTGTATGAGAGCATAGGAGAAAAAGGCATCCTTACCATCTCCTTTTCCTTCCTCTCCCACCCACTAAGTTCTTTGAGCAATTCACAAGTGTGTCATGTATATTCACCTCAGTCCTGACAGAGATCCTAGAAACACTTAGACTGTCCAAAGCCACTCCTGGAGACACGCACTATCCCAGCTCTTGCACCTGAGGGCCCAACTCCCAATTCAGTAATCTTCATAGGGCAGCACATGTGTAAAGAACAGCTGCACACCCCACTCACTCCTCTTTCTCAGCTCAGGTCACAGGTGCTGAAACTGAAGATAGTATCTGTAGTGTAGAGAGGATATGGTCTCAGAAGTAGGAGGAGCACAGGAGATGCCTGCTGGACCAGCACCAGTCTGTCACTCCAGCGACAAAGGTCAGTGACTTCAGCATTAGAAATGTTCCTGGAAATGAACTGGAAACTCAGGTTCCTGCTGTGTGGTACCTGGACACTGAAGGGCTGGGTCCTTCCAGCTAGAAATCCTTTCTGCTCTTGAAACCAGAGCCCTTTAATCTTAAGCAGCATCAAATGTTGTTGTTGTTGTTGTAAGATTGCATAGCTCTGCAGATAAATACTGCATTTAACATTCCTGTGTAATGAAGTAAAATACTCTGGTCAAGAATGGAAGTTTATTTAAGGCAATATAAAAATATGGCCATTAATCCAGGATTCTTGTACCCTACAGACCAGGGTGCTGGAGAACAGCCATTGTAAGCAGGACAGATTTAAAGGCCTCCCCATGTGCAGGCTGTCATGGGATCACAGGGCAGCTTACACAACCAGTGATGACACACAGATACATGTACCTGTTCTGTGATATCCACAGCCCCATGGACTGGTGCCAGCAGAGCATAGAGCAGAAAAAGCAGGAGGAAGGGTGAGAAGTTGACCAAGATTAAGTTTGAGACTAGGAGCAAGCAGTGAGTCAGAAGCTCTTGGGATGCTAGCGCAGCCCTGTGCCCCTCTTGCCCCACACACCACAGGTAAGATGCACATTCCTGTAGCTACAAACATCACCCATACTTGGGATTTCTCAGCTGAGATTCCTTCAGGATTGGTATACCTGGTTTGTGATGCCAAGAGACCAGGGAACAAAGAGCTGGGACTCCTGGAAACAGTGAATTTCCAGCCAACCTGGAAATTTCAACTGATTTTCAAACAAAAATAATTTCCTTTACATTCCTTTTTATTCCTTACAGCTTCCAGAAAATCAGTCTGAAAAGCTTTGCTAAGGTTCAGAGTTGTCCAGCTGCAGCCCTGACACAAACACAAACCATGTGAGACCGTGTGAGACCCTCGACATTGACTCTTCAGCGGTTTGGAAAAGGATCTGGATTTTTTGCTTGACTTTTCATCATTAAAAGTTGAGATCCTCAGCTGGAGAGCAGGAGGAACTGTAGAAACATCAGTTGAGCTTAATTTTGCTTTTGCATAAATCCGACTCACTGGTGCTTTGGCTTTATTTTCTCTTCTTTCAGGCAGGTGCCTGGCAGGTGGAGCTGCCTGTGCTGCATTATCAGAGCCCAGCAGGATGATTTACAGAGGTTGGGGACTCAGCTCCTGGCTTTGCAGGTTTGCTGGGGGAGACGTTCTCCTGTTGATAACCAGTGGTGAAAGGTTTTCAGCGTTGTCATGGGAACAGCTGCCATCCTCGGAGAACTGCCTTTCCTCTGTGCGAGCCTGCCTTGCTTGTTTACAGTACAAAGCCACTTTCAGGAGTATTCTACCTTGGATTTCCAAGAGTTTCACTTTTTCCAAAACTCAGGTAATAGAAATTATGGAGATCATAATGATGAATGGTGATAAAATTCCTAAAGGGAAACAGGATGTGTCAACACCATGATATGATTTTCATTTGCAGGGAAAGTGATCTGACAACTTCATTACCTTCTTCTACTCAAAAGGCTCACTCTTGCTCCCTCACACACATACTTCCTCCAGGAATTTACCAACAGGATCTGTTTGTACAGTTGCACAAGGCGTGGAGGTGAAGCCAGCACACTGCATAGCCCTTTTTAGGATGTGCTGATGCAGAAACAGTTGCAGTGTCTTGTGTCATCAAGTGACAGCCTGTGCAGAAACGCAGCTTCTGTGAGGGCCCCTTGGAGGCTGAATCTTTCATACTCCTGCATCTCCAGGCTACAGTGACAGAAGGAAAGGCCTGGCAGTCCTACATGCCACCAATAGTAGCTCTTGGTAAGACCTTATGCTATCAGCTCTCAGGGATGAGGCAGCAGCAAAGAAAACCCAAGTGGAAGACTTAAAATTTTTAAAAACTACTACGCAAAAACTGCATCCTTCATAGTTTCAGTACTCAGTTCTGAAAGAATGTGGTAAAAGCAGGGTTTCCCATGATCAAGTTTGGGTAGATTTTGAAAATGACAGCTTTCCCAACAGCTGTTTTCATTCCGCTCCTGAATTAACCACCTGCCTCTTTAGAAGCTGGTGGCTCAATTAAGGGGCTTCTGCAGAAGAACACTTTCCAGTGACAAAATGCTACTCTCACTACAGACCACCAAGAAATGAAATTGGCTTTTAGCTTGACAGAGATCCTCACTGCAGAAACCATAATGAAGTGCTCCAGTGATTTATTCCCAACCCATCTCTGGGGATCACACCCCTGCACTCACACACCAGCAAGTGCTCCTGAGCAGGCCACAAGCTAGTGACAGGTTATGTTACACAGTGAAGTACAAGACCTTTTGGTTTTTTTCCTTAAAATCTTCCTCCTCTGGGATGATATCAACCCCTGTGTGTCTTTAACTCACAGACAGCTTGTAACACATAATGAGAAGCAGAGCCTTGCTCTCAAATCCCAACTGCCCTGGCCAAAGGCATCAGGTGCTCATGGCCCCACACACACCTCAGCATCTGCAGCACCAATCCACAGTGCCACTTGATGTCTCCCTGAAAGATCTTCAGCATGGTCAAGAGAGGGGCTTGTGATCCAATTCCAGACAGGAGATGGAGCTGAGCATTAAAACTCTCTGCTGGAGCCAGCCCCAGCCACTCACCTGGGTGTGACAAATGGAATGAATGTGATCTCACCCTGCAGTGAGTTCCTGTCTGGAGCAAATCAGGTTAAGAAGCTAAAGAGATAGCACCACCCAGATTAATCAAACAGATAGACATATCTCCAGTCTCCTTTATTTTCATTTATAGAATAGTATGAATACTAGTAAGCAGACTATAAGGAAAATATTTCAAAACATTTCCAGTAAAAAACACAAGGGTGTAGTCCACCTGGCACAGCTGAGCTGACTTCCTATTTAGAGCCCCAGGACTTGCATTGCATTTTGGGCCAACTCAGAGATGTTCCTTGAGGCTGAAGTCCAAGGGCCAGCTTGTCCCTATTCTCACAGATTTGACAAGCACATTTCTAAGTTCTATCATTACCTCAGCAGCACAAGATCAACCCTCTGTAAGACTGAGGGCCAAACGAAATTATGAGACCAGGGAGGATGAAAATAGAGGGAATAGATGCACAAGCAGGAATATCCACAAAGTGCTGTTGCCACAAAAAGAAGGCACATGCATTAATTTATTTTGCATTGCTTCTTCTTCACTGAGACTTTAAAAAAAGTAATTAAATCCTGCTTCTTATGGCCTTTTTTGTTTGATTTGTTATTTGGTAAATTCTCATTCCTTTCCAGAAAGGAGGAATTTCAAGAAGTCATCAAGGTCAGACAAGATTCTCTCAAGGAAAAAAGAAAGCACTTCCTAGCCAGCATGATTTCCTTAGAAATCAAGAAGAACACACACACAGAGAGGATTCCAGGTACCCCTGTACAGTCAGCAACCTCTGGAAGGCAGTGAAAGCAAAGCCTCTGACATGACATGGAGAAGTCCTTGCTTTGGCTGGGACCCCTTGCTTTGACCCCTGCTGCTGCTGCACACTGGGGCTTGCTGGGACTGCCAAGAGAAGTCAGATGAACAAGAAGCTGTGAACAGAAGGGCAGGAACAAGTGTCCAGCTGGCGAATTCTCCTCCAGGTTCCCTTGCATTGATGGTTCCCCACCGCCTGCCAGTGCAACAACTGATTCCTGAAATGCAGTCATGACAGGGAGAAGGTGAGAGAAAATGAGCTGCACCTCCACTGCAGGGCAGTCACCACAAGGTACAATAGGACTTAAATCACCCAGTAAATCCCATTTAGTCTGATAGCATCCATTTTTAGTCCATGGGCCCAATTCTCTACCACTGTAAAGCAGCAGCAGCCACAGTGAGGCCCACAGGCTGTATTAGAATGAAGTAAAACCTAACAGTGACAGGAACAGACGTTTTTCTGTAGCACTGTGCCCCTTCCCAGATTTTATCGTTCAGTGGTTTAAGGGAAATCCTCACATTGGTATCTCCCAGCCCTGACCTCTGGAGAAGCACAGCTACCACAACTGGATCAGCTCTTATCCAATGCAGAGAGCTACCCACAGATAGCCCAAAGACCCCTAATTTCTCCAGAGAGAAATTCTGTATGCAGTGCACAGTGATCCTGAAACAAGCGGATCAAGGGAGAAGAATAACACATTCAACATGAAAACAAAAGCTAAAACTCTTACTGCTGGCTGCCAGCGCCATCACCGTAGCAGCGCTGCCTCGGGGGCTGCAGGGCTGGGTGCTGGCACTCCACGCAGACTCTGTGGCCCTCCCTGAGGTAGCGGGTCCAGCCGGCGTGCGAGTGCTGCCTGTGCAGGCAGCCTGGCGTCAGGGCCACGAGCTGGAACTCCACGCAGTACCTGCAACCCAACAACTGGTGGGTCAGCTCAAAAACCAGGGTAGGCCTGCACAGGGCTGCCAGAGCCACACTCATCTGCAAGACCGCAGATCACTAATTAAGAAAAAACAAACCAAAAAATCCCCCCATCCAAGGTCATTAAGAGCAGAACATGTGGTGTACCTGCATTTTGACAAGGTTAAATAGGGAATAAACTACTCTGCTGATGCTTTCAGCTATCGTATAAAAAATACCAGGTATGACTGGCATTTGTTTTTACCAACAGGGACACAGACTGGTCAAGCATTTGACTACTCTAATTCCAAGTCTGGTACCCACTTGCTGAGCCACACTTCCTCTACTGTCTCCCCTCAGTTACTTAGATTTTGTAGAACAGGTTGTGACAGGAGCTAAGATCTAGTCTGTAAATGTTTTCCTTGGGATGATCTCCCTCCTGCAACCAGAGAGACTCTCTGGAGTATGACTGAGTCCCTGAGATGAGCATCCAACTTACCCTGCCCTTTCACTCCCATCAGCTGCAGCTCTTTTCTTCCTCGCTTTTCCAAACCCTCCCTTAGTTATTAATGCCGGGACTGTGTATACCAAAGAGAAAAGGTACAGAGTGTCAGTGGCAACGCTGCTCTAGGGCTCGTTATGTCTGCAAAACCAAAAAGATGGACTTTTAACATCATAGGTTTTATCTTTAGCAGAGACAAGAACAATTCTAACTTTGTATTTTCATATTATCTATCACTATATATATATATATATTATTCATATTATATATTATAATATGTATATATAATATATATAATACTATATTTTATTCATATTATCTATCACTATATATATCATCATTCCACTGGGAAGATAATCTGTACAGCTGCCAGATTTTACTGAACAGAGTAAGCATACTTATAGGAATACCCAAAGACAGAAGGGGAGGTGATATTCCCTTAATACCAGTTCTCAACAGGTTTGAAGTCAGTTGCAGCTGACATCCAGACAGACAGACAGATTTTGACCCCAAAATACCAACCCAAATGACAAGCAATTCTTCTAAAAGAATCAGTAAAGACATTCCACAAAAACTTGAATTGAACAAACTAAACCCAGGCTTTTTCTATGGAAACTATCTGGAGGTCTCCCTTGCCTGACCTCTGCTCCAGTGCAGAAAAGGCATATCTCAGCATGGAGAGGTATCACTCCTTTGTGACTTTTTGCAGATAAGCCATTAAACAAACAAACAAACAAACAAACAAATGAAAAGGAAACTGAAATGGAAATGGAAAAAAAGTGTTTGACACCCACTTACGGAAGTTTTGAACAGACATAAATCTGCCAATCTCACCAAAATTTCCAGAGATTTGAGCTTGTACAAATGAGAGCACATCAGACCTGCAGACCTGTAACATCTCTCACTTTTGAGACACAGTGGATCATAGCAAACGGCAGGCACCACTTCCAACACTGTCCTGGGAAGGACGTGTCTAAGCTCCAGTGTGAAAGAGCCCAGTTCTCATTAGCCCAGGCAGGCCCGCGGCAAACATACTGGTGTCTAAAAGCAATTCTTCAAACAAAGGAAAAAACAGCTCTGCTGACCCAAACCAGTCCTTCCCACGACTACCCAGACACTTTTCAGTGAGCTTACTCAGGGACTGTTGGCACTCTGTTCCTCGCCGAGTCCAGTACTCTACACAGCCAGCCCTCTCCTCCAGAGCAGGGCATGCTTCTGCCCCGTTCCTGGGCTCCTGGATGATGTGCCTCGTCCTGACACGATAGGTTGTCTTGCAAGGCTCTGCACAGCCACTCCAGGCACTCCACTGAGATACAACACAGGGGATGACTGGAGGAAGAGCAACAACCGGGGATGTGGAAGGTTACAGGAATGACGCCAGTGAAATGCCTGCTCCAGAAAGAACACTTTTTGACATAGCTCACTGCAACCCTCCTTATTCCAGACTTGTCCCACAGTCGTCTTGGGCATTCTCGGCACTTCTCCTCCAGGCTCCTCCACTTGCCCACGAGCCCCGCAGTGCCCAGGCTCACGGCCGGAGCCCGAGGGCGAGCGAGGGCCGGTGGGGCCGGCTGCGGCCGCGGCCCCAGTCGCTCACCTGGGCAGGCCTGGGCGTAGTCGTGGCAGCAGTCGAGGGTGCGAGCGCACGCCTGGTCGCAGTAGCAGGGCCCGGCGGAGCCGTCGGGCCGCCGGCCGGCGCTCAGGCAGGCGGGGTCGCGGCCGGGGCAGCACAGCCCGCGGGCGGCGCAGCCGGAGGTGCGGCGGGGCAGGGCCGGCGGCAGCAGCAGCAGCAGCAGCGGCAGCGGCAGCGCCGGGAACCGGCGGGGCCTGCGGGCCATGGCCTCGGGACTCCGCCACCTGCGCTGCCGCCGCCCGCAGCCGGGGCGGGGAGCCGGCCCGGCCCGGAACCGTCCGGGGCAGGAGGCGGCCACGCCGGGCGGGGCCGGGCCGAGTCCTGAGGCGGCCGCTTCCCGGGCCCGCGGTGGCAGTGCGGCCCCTGCCCGGGCAGAGCCCGGTGTGCCGGGCTGTCCTGGGGCTGTCCTGGGGCTGTCCTGGGGCTGTCCTGGGGCTGTCCGTGCCGGGCAGTGCCGGGCAGTGCCGGGCAGTGCCCCTGTGGCAGCAGGTGCTGCTCACACCGATACCCCATCTGCGGCGCTCTCTGTGGCCGCGCACCCGACAGTCCTTTTCTGTGAACTTATCAAACCAAAAACTCTTCAGCCCTGACTGCTGGCATTTACCCACCAGATTATCATCAAAAACAGATGATAAAGGAGACCAATTTTTTTTTGCCGGATTTGAGTCCAGCATACCTCAGGAGCCATTATAAAATGGAAAGTACTTAATTGCCAGTACAACAGAGATCCAGCTGGCTGTGCTACCTCTCTACAGAATTACCCTGAATTTCCTTCTTAATTCGAAATGCAAGAACCTTAGAGAGATTACAGCCAGTCCTGTGAATTATTTAGCTATTCAGTACAAAGCAAAGGGCTTTACTGTAACTTTTTAATCAAAGAGGCTTGTTCTAAAATATTGATCACAACAGATGTTATACCTTGCTGAACACTGAACTGGGATTTATAAAACCCACTCACTGGGGTTTTTTGCAAGTGATTATTGTACTAAGACTGGGTATGGACAGAGTGTTCCCATTTCAGGGAAACTGCAGCAAAGATGTTTCTAGAAAAACAGAAAATAACATTAGAGGACAGATGAACACCTTCAGCATGTACAGTTTTGGAGGCATGGACACAGAGGAGACCTGGCACTGCATCAGCTTGGGCCTAACATGGTAAAACGTTCCAAAAAGAAAAACAATAGGAAGAACTTTAGCTTCTTTGTATGATGTCTGCAGCAAAGAACAGGCATCTCATTTTCTTGGCAGTGGTCAGATATTGTCACCTTGGAAATTGCACATGTGGCAAATCCTTCAGCATGCAATGGCATAAAGTCTGGGAGAGGAAAGAGAAGAGCCCTAGAAATCAGTGGCTATTTGGTCTAGGAAGCTGGAATTTAAAGCTACTACGTTTATTCTTGCCTCTGCCAATGAGTGACTTACTATGTGACCTCAGGGAAGTCATTTAACCAATACATGTCTCGTTCTTGATCTAGAACAGGAAGGACATTCCAAAGGAGCTTGGATTACTCAGCAAATCAGTTCACACAAAGTAGAGAGTGCGGCTCTTGCGCAATTCCCTGAGGGGCGGTAACAGAGCAGACCTCCTAGGTCCAGCACTCATGCTGCCATGCTCCACATCCCCCTGCCAACAGCTGAGGAAGAAGGAACACCACATTATTCTGAGATACACAGACTGAATGAAAATTCAGAAACAGAAAGCTGTGGCTGTACATAAAGACTGCAATTTTGACTGACCCTATGTGGTTAGAAAAATTGGATCTGGGTCCAGGCATCTCAGAAAGGTTTACATTCAATCCCCCCAGTAAGCTCCTGGGAGCAAACTTCATTCTTATCTTACATTCCCAGAGTGAAAGCAGTTTTCCTTTGTTCTGGTTTGACATAGCCCTGGGGATATTTTAGGGTTTGGGGTTTTTTTTTTTCCTGTTAGGCTCTAAAGGAGCCAAGGAAACACAGTCCAGCATGCTGGACCGTTAGCCCAGCAAGAGATTTCTTGCAAGACAAAGTGCCAAGTCTGGGTGGGTCTGCTGACCCTGAGCAGCCAAGCAAATGTGTTCTTACAGAAAGGAAATGTGGCTAGTCTGTCATAGAGGGAGAGGTTCAGAACAGAACAGCTTGCAGGGATGTCCTTGGGAACATCAGTGGGTGTTCGCTGTTGTATAAAAAGGGGCATTCTTTTGTTGATGAAAAGCATAGTTGGTCACCAGAGAAGTTTTAAGAGCAATACAAGCAGAGGATAGTAACCTATGGGGAAAACAGGTTAACTTCACTTTCTCCAGGTTTTTTTGAACTGTCTGCCCTGGGATCTCACCAGTTTACACAGGCAGACAACCAAGTGCAGCTCTCTGGGACTTCTGGTAGGATCACCCTTTGTCCTGCTGCCTGCAGGAATCGGCCTGTGAGTCCCAACATACGTTCCACAGTATGGGGATCACCAGCAATTCTTGACAAGTCAGATGACTTGTGCTGTGGATGATAAAGGAAGGCCTTTGGCTGAACGACCAGAGCTGCCTACAGACCTCACAGCTATTGTTCAGTAGCTGGACCAGGATTTTATCCTAACACATCACAGAAAAACAAGAGCTTTATTTGGTTGCTTTTCCCAAAACTGGATGATGTTGTTCCCATCTGAACAACAAAAGAGGTCACAACTAAACCACATTAGCAGAAAAACCACAGGCACTGACCCGAGTAACATCTCCACAGGGGTCTGCCAAGAAGTGTGGGAGAGTCTATAGTCTAGAAGTTATAGCTGCAGAACATCTGTTTAAAACAGTGGGTGATGTAGGAGACAGAAATGCTAGGTTTCAAAACAAAGTCTTCTTACTGCCTGGAGCAGTCCAAGGGTCCCAAAATCTGGATGTTCCTTGGGTGGTCACAAACTCAAGCTGTGCTTCACTGGCTGTCCATGCTAATGTCCAGCCTGTCAACACAGCTGAAGTGTCAGATAATCTTATCACTGAACAGAGATGAAACCAGAGGCAATAACACAGCAAGTAGAAGCAGCAATGAGTAATGGACTGTGCTTTGCTATAAGCTAATGCAACAGCTAACACACAGGTCTAAAAAGAATATAATAATCACCATGCAGTCAAAATATGCCTGGGTCTTTGGGAATACAAATGTTAAAACTCTCCCTGTGCATGAAAATTTATATTAAAAGAAACATCAGACAGAGAAATAATCTGTGCTATTTTTCTCTCAAATGCTCACGGCACCAAGAAACAGATCTGTTTGAGAAAAGTAAACATTTGCTTAAAATACGAACCTAGTGAGTGACTCCAGGCTTCAGTTTAGAAAGCTGAGTACCAACATCAAGGTCTGCTTCTGCTACAGCTGATGGAACCGTGAGCTGTGCGTGTTCCCTGCCCTGCAGAGCCCCCACAGCAGGGCACCCAGCGTGGACACACTGTGCTCTGCTGTGCAGGGAGCTCTCCTCGCACAGGAACAGCTGCAGGTCAGCCTTCGGCCAGAACACATTTCTGACCTGCATCTCCTCATTCAAAACAGACAGCAGGCAAACTCGGGAGCTGACCTGGGCCAGCAAAACTCAGGCTGCTTTAAATTCAGAGTTAAACCTCCTCATCCCCACCTCTTACCAAAGCACTCTAGTAAGAGATTTTCTAGCAGGCTTGTCTGTCCCCTATGGCTGCTACAGCCCGTGTGGACCCGTTCCCTGTGCCCCAGGAGGTTCTGCTGCAGCTGCTCTGGGGACACCGCGGCGAGTCTGGGGACCCCGGCTGGGCCCGCCCTGAGGGGCAGCAGCGGCCGCACAGCGCCCCCCTGCGGGCCGGAGGTCCATGGGAACCCTGCCCCTAGCCTTCAGAGGCTGCCTGGGATTAGTAACCTGCCTACAGCTTCAAATTTTATCCCTATCCATATATGCAATAGCAGCAGAGCTTGAAACGTGACGAGCAACTGTTCTTGCAGAGGTAGTAAAACATGCCAAAAAAAAGTTTCAGCTGCATCTGTCCCTCCAGCTCCCACTGGACAAGCATTCTCTCCTCCCTACAGAATGTTTGCTGGTACATCTGCTCATGACATTAATGAAAGTAATTGTATTAGCAGTTCTGGTCCCTCACCAATATGTACTTTCAAGAGATCATGCTGCTTACAATAATTGAAGAAAACCCCCTACTCAATTTAATTGAAGACTGCTTTGAATGTTGAATAGTAGCAGATTTTCCATCATTGCTATTTCCTAAGCACGTGCCAAAGGCCACCACTATCGGCTCAGACACCAAATCCTATCCCAGAACCACTGAAACTGATTTGGCTATGCTGAGGGACAGCCCTTGTCCATAGACTGAGCAGACTGCACCTCTCCCCAGACCTGCAGCACAACAGCAGCCACAAGCCCCAGCCAAGCACTTCTGCTCCAGGGTATGTGCAGCTCTGTTGCCATGAGATCATGCCTCTTCTCTTGGCTTGAGGCAGCAGACTGGTGCTGTACCCTTCAACTCCTCATACAACTGGGAGATCCAGGAATGAGCTGTTAAACGTGGGTCAAGAGAATTTCAGTCATCAGCTGAACTCGCTCATTACTCAAATTTTATTAAAAACAGGTACCAAACACTACAGAAACACACTGTGCTGCAGCATCCCAGAGAGCCCCTGCCCACTTCACAGGCTGCCAGGGACACACCACTGAAGCTTTCTGGGTGGCAGGAGAGAACCAAGCCCTGACACCCAAGGCCATCCTCCTGGTACCTGACAGCTGGCTCCCAGGGGGGCTTCCTTGGCTTCCATGACTATGGCAGGGTAACATAAGCTGCCAGGAAGGAAATGCAGCCCCTGCAGACAAAAGCATGCAACTGCATTAAACATTCAGCACTTTCCAGAATCTATCAGTTACATGCCTTGTACCCAGAGGACAAAAAACGTAACATCCTGCATCTAAGTTTGCAGGACACAAATTCATCACTCCTGACAGCTTTGAGAGAAGGTCAGAGCTGTTGCAGGGCGATGGGAATGCTGTGTCTTGGATGAAGATCCCAGGCAGCAGCATGGGAGCAGCAGAACAGAACCATCAGTCTTCTTTAGGAGAACAATGAAACTCCAGCAGGGCCCAGCCAGGACAACTTCTTATAAATTTCAACCTGCCAAGAGAACAGCCAACATTTTGTCTGTCCACTGTACCACAAACAGCAAATAGACAATGATGTTGCCAAACATCATTGCCAAATCCACCCCAGCCCCATAAAAACCATTAGACAAGAGCTGCTCTGCAAGAGCAGAAGATTCCTCCCTGCCAGGTACTCTAAACAGGATGACCTCAAACTGCACTGTGGGAGCTTTTAGAGCAGGACTGGACATCAGCCTGGAGGAACTAACAGAGCAGAGTGCCAGAGAAACCTTCAGTCAGCTCAACCAGCTTCGCCATTTGAACCAAGCACTTGGTGTCCTTTTGCTAAGGTAGAGGGCTCTTCAGAGACTTACTTCAAGACATTGAGAACCTCCCACTGGGGGGGAGCCCCAAAAACTACAAAGAACAAAAGCTCCTGGACTCTGCAAGATGTACCCTGTTTTAACACTGCTTAAATGGGGCAAGAGAAAAACATTACATTTATGCCCTTGGAATTAAAACCTTTCAGACCTCTCTGCCACTAACTGGAGATCTTTGGAAAGAACTTCAGCAGGAACTTCCCTGCGTGAAACGGGAGTATTTTCAAAGCACTTACAAGGCGCCTTTCTGCAATACTATTCCCCACTCTGCCAAACCTCCAGCGACTTTTAACTTGTCAAGGCACTGCAGAGGCAACTTCCTTAAAGGAAGGTGTTCTTTCTCTTTTCCTTTACTGAAGTCAGTGAATGTAGGTAAATTAAAATCTTACCATTCTCCCCTGACCAAGGGGTACACATAGTAGAGCAAACCAGACAACTGCTCACATCACACAATCCTTCATTGTCAGCTGCAGCCTTAACTTCAGGTCTCCCCAAAGCTCAACCCACCACTTCTGACTTCACAGTGCCCTGGGGGTAAAGTCAAAGGGAACCATCAGCATCAGACCCCTGATTCCAGTATTTTGGGCATTTGTTAACAGCAGGGTGTGGGACACAGCTGCACTCCCCAGCTGGTGCATCAGACACAATCTGGCTTGAACAGCAAGAAATCAACACTGTCGCTCTGATGGGGAAAAAATTCAGTCATCACTTACACCAGCAAGTTCCTAGGAGCCATGCCACGTTCCCACGTCCCCTGGCAGAGCCACAGGCACCACGAGCTAATAGCAGAGAACGTGGCAGAGCCATGCCCACACTGGCAATCCCTTTGCACTCCCATAAGCTGGCCAGCAAGGGTCAGGGCAGAAGAGCCTTGCCAGTAGCACCTCCCACAGGGACACACTTCAGCCCAAATGGCTCCTCCTCCTTACTGGGGCAGCCCATCACCCACAGATGTCTATGCAGAGTCCCACAGTACGAGCCCTCTGAACACAGTGAAGCAAACAGGACAGAGCTGTAAGCCACCGTGCTGTTCCAGCTCAGCACACAGACGGGAAGCTTGCAGCTTCCTGGCCTGCTGGTTGCTATTCACTTTGGACATGATGGAACAGGAGCCTCAAAGGACCGCAATGCAATGCTTCTGGAGGAGGAATCTCCCTGCACTCTCACTTCTACAATACCTAGGTTAATACTCATCAGAATATGGTCTTTAGGGATGAACTGGAAGCAACTTCCTTGCAGAAAGCTATTTCCTCCCCTCTTCTTTTTATTCCTCTCCCCTTCTTTTTAGATTTAATTAAACACATGATTCACACTTAATTCAAAGACTTACCATTATTTGCTAGAGGTTCAGGCATGGTGGAGCAAACCAGACAACTGCTCACATCACACAATCCTTCATTGTCAGCTGCAGCCTTAACTTCAGGTCTCCCCAAAGCTCAACCCACCACTTCTGACTTCACAGTGCCCTGGGGGTAAAGTCAAAGGGAACCATCAGCATCAGACCCCTGATTCCAGTATTTTGGGCATTTGTTAACAGCAGGGTGTGGGACACAGCTGCACTCCCCAGCTGGTGCATCAGACACAATCTGGCTTGAACAGCAAGAAATCAACACTGTCGCTCTGATGGGGAAAAAATTCAGTCATCACTTACACCAGCAAGTTCCTAGGAAATGAGGCTGCACAGCCATGGCAACTGCACCATGCTCCCATGTCCCCTGGAAGAACTACGGTAAACAAGGAAGTTCATGTAATCTTTCCCCCAAAATGTGGCTGGTTGGCTTGTTCTATAGGTACACAGGACAGGGAAATAGTCCCAAAAAAACGGAGAACACCGATGTATCGGGGTTCTAGAGCAGAGTTCAAAACAGCCAAGCCATTTAGCAGGAAAAGAGGCATCAGGCAGAGATGAACAGGTTATTACTGCCTTTTGCAGCCCCAGGCCTGGTGTCCATGCAAGGCTCCCATTCCCCACCGGTAGGCGCTGTGCTGTCCGAGGCCATGAGCAGCGGGCCCATCTGGGGCCCGGCGCAGGAGAAGACTCCGGACAGCCCCGGACCGGCTCTGCCACCCAGAACCGCCCATCTCGGGGTCCCTGCAGGCCCTGCCCGCCGGGCTCCTGCGGGAGGCACCCACACCTGGTACCTCTGCAGGGACACCACCCCGGCAATTGGCAATTACCTGGCCTGGTAATTCAGTAACTCCTTCAAAAGAGCAAATGTAAATACGTGCGATTTTAGTTTGGTACGGAAGAGTTATTCTGCAGACTTACCGCCTGGCCCTGGCAGAGGCTCGGGCCTGCGGGCGCACGCCGGCGAGGCTAAGCGCCCCCATGGCCGGCCTGGCTCCGCGCACGGGGCTCCCGCAGGCGCCTCGGGTTCCGCTGCCCTACGGGGAAACGAAGCACAGTGAGTATCGGGGGCAATGCACGGCCAGCACCGGCCCGCGGCCGCTCCACTGGTGCATCAGACACGATCTGGCTTGGACAGCGAGAGTCAACACTGTCGCTCAAAGTGGAAAAGAGTCAGCACCTCTGCCAGTGAACGCCCGGACACGCCCGGGGAGCTCCGTGTGACCCTGCCAGGAAGAGCGGCCGGAACCCGGGAGGCAGCCGTGGGGACAGGCCCCGGCCGAGCAGCAGCGGGGTGGTCACACGGCACGGCGGATGCCTCAGCGGTAGGGCGGGCACAGAGATGCCTCTGGCCGCCCGCAGAGGCCCAGCCATTCCCCCGGGAATGGGCACAGAGGAATCCCGGACCCTCCTAACCCCGCCAGTACGCGCACCCACCTCGGCCGATCCGGAGTAAGAGGGCGCGGAGAGCTGCGCGAAGCAATTTATAGCTCGGCAGGCCCCGCCCTGGGCCCGCCCTGCTCGCCCACGCTGAGGGGCCGCCAGCGCCGCCGTGTCGGGCGGAGCCCTGCGGGCCTGGGAGCCGCTCCTGCTCTATCAGGAGCACGGGCCGGGCTCTCGGGGAGGGGCCGGGCCGGGCCGGGCCGTCCTCCCGCTGCTTGCAGCCGGGGAAGGTGGCGGGAAGCGCCGCCATTTCGCGGTGTCGCGCCGCATGGCCGGGCCCGGGTCTGGCTGCGCTGTGGGCGGGTGAAGGCGGCGGGGGGCGAGCAGCGGAACCCGGGGTGTCGGTACGTTTGGTATCATTTATCGGGATGGGCGAGCGTTGCTTTGGACACTTGATTTTCTTTTACAAAATAAAACAAAAGACAGCAGTTAAGAGATGCTCAAGTGACTCGTCCAAAGGCACGAGCCGCTGCAGCGCCAGCATCCCCGCCAGGGCCGCGCTGCCCCGAGAGCCCAGAGCCGCTGCAGCCTGCTCGCTGGGCCCGCTCAGCCCGCGGGGGGACCCTGACCCTTCTGGGGTACACAGCACAGCGACCTGGCTTTTAGGTGCTTTAGACAGGAAAATTATGTTGCGTTAAATAGTTTGACACTGAGTAACGCGAGGAACGGAATAGAAAACAAAGGATGTGGCTTGGATGAAAACAGCCCAGTTTGTAACCCAAGCACTGCCGTGAGAGGTGATTTTTATAGCTATAAATTCAGCGTGGAGACGGATGAATGCAGCCATGCGGCCCTGCTGGAGCCCTGGCACACAGCATCCCTGAGGGAAGGCGTTCCCGGGCCCGGCTCCCCGCGGTGGCCGCTCTACAGCAGCCGCACGGTCGCCAGCTCTGCCCTCCCGGGGAAGGCAGCGACTTCGGCCGCTGGAATAACAGCGGCTGGAGGGATCGGGTTGAAATGGAGTCACGCAGGGCACGGGCAGGGAGACGAACAAAGCCAGACGTCTTTACATCAGCTGGGACGAGGCACAGCAGAGGAACAGCTGTGTCCCGCAGGAAGAAGCTGTGGTCCAGACTGGCACAGAATCAAGGCTCCATGCTTTGTTTTTTTCTGTTTGCAAAATACGTACTGCTTAATTCAGCTTCTGTTAAAATGCTTTTTCCTAATTAAGTGTGTTTGTAGGCAACTAATTTTTGAAAGCGGCCTATCAAACAGGACTTGTGGAATAAATCTCAATGTTGTTAATCCAAGTTCCAGAACACCAAAAGATGAAATGACAATCGAAGGACATTTTAAGAGGACTACAGGGAAAACTAATCTTGTTACACTGGAAACCCCTGTCACATGCACAACACAAAAGGAACTGTAAATGTGATTTGTGTTTCCTAGCTTGGCAAGGAAGGGAAAGGGGGAAGGTCTGAGATAGTCAACAGCTGCAACAGAACTTAGTATTAAATTTATTTGATTTTATGTTTGGGTTTTATTCTCCTTGGCAAAACCATGTGGAAAATGTCTTTATCTAAATGAGTTCTTCAGCTCAGTCAGGCTCATCAAACTCAGGAAGTTCTTCAAGAGGCAGCAAAAGTCTCTCCAGTCCCAGTTCTTTCTGTGTGGTGCAGCGAGAGCTCTGGTGCCCCACAGCCCATCCCGGGGTATCAGGGGACACTCCTGTGCCTTGCCCCACGTGCCCAGGGTTAGGGTAAATGGATAAAAGTCATGCTAGTTTCTTTTTTAAGTGCTGCAGCCCCGAAGAATGCATTTGTATTCTCTGCCAGCTGTCACAGGGACTCCGTCAGCATGCCCCGTGTGCCAGCACAGAATCATTCTTTTCTCTGGGCAGAACAGGAAAATATGAAATGTTCCTTAATTGCTAAACAAGGCCTTATTAGATTAAATGATTCATGCACCATCCTCTTAACTGCTACATTGTTATATTCAGGGCTCTTTTAAAATCAGAACTGACTATGAAGAAATCCAAACTTTAGTTGGGATACAACCTCTACTTTCCCAACATAATAACCTAAACCAGAAAATCAGCACCAGATGCCTACAATATTCTTGACATTTCTCATATAGATTGTGATTTTCCAGCAAATTGACTTCATTTTTAAAAAAAGATAGGCATCAAGAAAGCCATGAAAAGATCTCCCTGAACTGCTGGGTCAGCAGCTTCACTGTGACAGTCAAAATAAAACAGTCAGCACACTGATGGGGGTTGGAAAAAAGGCTTAATGAGCTTCTGCCAAATCACACACACCTTTAGAATAGGAAAAATCCCAAACATAAAATTCACAGAATGGATTACTGCCTCAGCTCCAGGCTGCTTCCGATTTGGCTCTCCTACAGAGCCTTTTACAAGAGTTAGAAGGTGTATTTTAGCTATTTTGCAGGTAACATTCCCCAAAAATTTGGCACAAATTCTTCAAGATCTTAATCCTGAAACCAAGACTGATGGATGACATATTTCTTCCCTGTGGAGTCAGGCCTTCAGGCACTGAAAGCAGGAGTGGAAGCTGGTGAGCCCAGCCCTCCCTGCTGTGCCCTGGGCAGCCCTGCGTGCAGAGTGGCTGCAAGGTTAAAAGACTGGGCAGTAAGGGGGGCACTCCTGAGGAGAAACAGCAGCACTGTCTCAGCTCTGTCTCCTGCCTTTGCTGCATCAGGCACAGAGGAGACAACAGGAAAAGCAAGGGACTGTAGTACTCAGGCAAAGCCCCACTTTTATCCAGAGCTCATGTCAGCTCACCCAGAATCGACACGGTGCCACAGTGTCCCACCTGGAGCCTGTGATTGCAGCAAGCTCTGGGAGAGGAGGCATTTCTCTTACACAGGCCCAAAGAGGGGATCAGGGTGTTTAACAGCAGTGAACAGCTGCCTGTGGCAAAGTGCCTTAATCCAGGTTCCTATGAAACACAGCATTAGCAACAAGTGATGCTGCAGAACAGTCCCAAGAGCAGGCTCTAGCCCCATCCAAGGAGAAAATTCAACAGCTGCAGACGAGGGTAGGGAGAACCTGGGCCCACTGCTGTCAGTGTGCTCCCTGCTTTCCAATAGGAATTGTTTAGTAAGGAGTTTCTGAGTTGGAAAAATTTGCAATACAAAGCCTCAGCCTAGCAAGTTTCTTTTAATTTTTAAATGTACAGCATTTTAGTTCTACAAATGTAAAAAAAAACTAAAACCAAAAAAGCTTTACAATGTTTGGGAGTTTTTAGCTTATAATGATCACACCCAACGTGATTGAACGCAATCTGGTCTGCAGTTCCTGTGGCCCGATTGCTTTGGATGACGCAAATAAAATGGCCAAGACATTTAGCTCTGAGACAGCAGCTGCAGGAATTGCTCTCTGTGGCAGGAGCTTCTGCAGCGCTGCACAGGTGCAGGAAGTGCTCCTGCAGTCCCAGGTAGGTAAACACTGAGCGTAGCTCACACTGGACGAGACACCGACACGTGTCAGCCTGCGGGGCCAGTGCTGGGGCCAGAGCTGCTGCAGGAGCCAAGCTCTGCTCTGCAGCACTGCCCCCAGGCAAGGCTGGGGCTCAAGTCACAAGCAAACAAGGAAATGGAGTTTAAAGTCTCTACTTCGAGGAAGTCCCAACCACTGGCTGTGGCAGGTTCCTCCTTTAAGTAAACTTTTAAGTTTCACTTTAATGTCCAGTTTGAGCTCCCATTAACACAGCTGCACTAACACTGTGGCACAAATAACAAACTGTACCCACGTTACTTTGCATTCCCTTGCCCTGCCAGGTCTGCACACCCTGCACAGCACAGAACATAGAACATTCTCTATGCACTCGAGAACCACTGGAAGTTACTCCACAGCTTAACACACTGCCCAGACTAGAACACAAGCATTACAAATCTATAAAAAAGCAGCCCCTCTGGTGGTGTACAGGAATAAATTAACCAAAAAAATTTAGTATTACCATTTATTGGTGACAAACACTACGTTTTACTTACATTCCATGGGGAGAAAAAATTCCAGCGTAAACAATGAACGGAAGCAGTACTGAACTCGCGCAGCTATCGTGCTGTACCTGGACCAATGCAAACCTCAGCGCGCACCGACCGTGCGCTAGAACACAACATCAAAAGCAACACAGTTATATATAAACATAGGTAATTTTTTTCAGCCCTACATGGAGATGTAATTAAACAGTATAAAGCACTCAAGGAAAATCAATCTGCAGTTTTATATGCACTACATTGAGATCATATCCTGTACTGTAGTGAGCTGTGAGCCACCAACACACAGTCCCTAAAACACAGCTCAGAGATCACTGAAAGTCACGGTGCATTTGAGCTCCCCTACCCCACACTCAAGAAAACTAGAAATTAACCAAAAATGATCAAACCAAGTTTAAAATTCCTAAAGTATTTAAATTCATTCAACCATTGGATAATTAGGGTTGGTTTGCAAAAATACGGGGCTTTTTAAAATGGTGGGACACAGCCTGTTTCCAGTGAAATGCTGCTATTCCAATAAAACCAAAATAACCACATACATGGATATGATCTTCCCAAGTTAGTTCACAGGTAACATGTCAGTCTCAGAAGACAAAGTTTCTAAACTGTGCTATGGTTCTAGATACAATTAAGAAACTTTTAAA